TGACCAGCTTCCGCCACACTCAGTGCCCTTCACTACAGTCAGCCTACTGAAATAAGACCAAACCCATCTGAACTTCTTGCCACAAGACATGCGTCAGGACTCTGGGTTCCAGGATGCCTGAAGGGAAGGAAGATGAAGCCTGAGCCTAGGTTGATGGGACTCGTGAACTTCCAGCTCTTTCCAGCAGGTGGGGCCCCAAACAATGCAATCTGGGAACAGACTGGGGACATTGTGCCCATTAAGAGGGAACCCTCTAGCCCCGTAGCACAGTCACTAACACACAGTAACTACCTTAAAAAAAAAAAAAGGTCATTATTATTGTGGGAAAGGTAATTGCTCACATAATCTCCCACTGTTTTGTTTTCACAAAATGAAAAGAAGAAATTTCTCCCTACTAGCAGAAGAATGAAACTCCAGTCAGGAATACAATTTTTCCTCAAACTTAAAAGATTGAGTAGCAGACATAAAAAGTCCTGAAGTAAACTCCCTTTTACTTTCTCACCTATCATTCTACCCTTACTCCTTAAATGTCCTTCGCCTACTATAGCTGTAACCATAGCAACCCAGCTGGTGGGAAATTATGGAAACTCCTACTCATTCTTCTACATTCAGGTAGGTAAGTATTCCCCTTCTCTGTGAAGTTTTCTCCAGTCCTCATTTCAGCCTCAGAGGAGATGACCTCACAGTTACCACAACATGGACGTCCTGTGCACACCTATATCAGAACACTTATTGCATGATTTTAGGACTCTGCTTACTTGTTTGTCTCTGTCACAACTCCATGATCTTCTTGGGCTTCTGTAAACCCCCCGTGCTTGGATTAGCGCCGGCACATAGGAGCTGCTCAGCACATTTCCACTCATGAACGTTGGAAATATAAGAAAGGAGGCTAGGAGGCTGTACTGAATTGGTGTGGGAGGGGGTGGGAGGCAGGTTGTCCCAGCAATGAAGTTGAGCCAGAGTGACCTGTGGGGCCCTGGCAACACAGCCAGGGAGGAGACAGAAATCGTGTCCTCGGCCAGGAAAGCTATGCCTGGCATGCAGACTGTCCAGGGAGCAGGGGGACCCTGGAGGAAAGCCATGAGGATAGAAACAGAGATTAGAGGTGGAGGGATGGAATGGGGAGGGAGAAGTTGAAATCCAGATCAAAGGGGTCCTTTGAAACAGGCCAAGGCAAGAGGTTCAAGACTGAGACTTGGTGAGAAGAGGCTCAAGTCCTATTTTTAAATGGTGATGACTGTAGTAGAAGGGAGATGGAGGTTGCAGGGCTGCAGTTTAGACAGGGAAAAACACCTGTGCAGAATTCTTCTTCACTGGTTCAGGGAGGTGGGACGTGAATCGATCCAGAATGGATACCTTGTAATCACACTTTTAACCTTTTAAACTGCTAACTTACCGACATCATCTCCTTTAAAGGCAATATGGAGTGATAGCCAAGCAGATCTGCGTTCAAATCCCAGGTCCTTCACTTAGTAGCTATGTGACTTTAGATGAATCACTTCAGGTCTTTGAGCTTCAGTATATCCTGTACATGAAGAATATTAAAGCCTTCCTCAAAAGACCACATGCAACAAGGAGAATTTAAAATAAGGTATGTACAGGGCCAGCCGAGTGGCGCATTGGTTAAGAGCTGGCTTGGGACGCCAGAGGGCCCCAGTTCGGATCCCACATACAAGAGCCGGTGACACTGCCCTCTACAGCTAAGACGCTGAACAACAGCTCGACCTGCAGCTGGGTTGCCGTGAGTCGCCAGCGACGGCGTAGGCTGCAGCCCCTGCTGCAGTGGGTTGCCATGGGCTACCAGTATGTAGCCAGCAGCCAGTGTGAGCAGCCTGCAGCCGCTGTGAGTGGCTATCCAGAAGCTGGCAACTGATCTGCCTCGCCCGGGAATAGCGCAATGATGGTGCCAACTTGGGCCAGTGAAGCCACGTCCTCCACAATTAGACTGAAGAACAAAACGACAGCAACTTGTCTGTTCCCCTTCCCCCAATTCCCCAGCGCTGTTCCCATCCCCCAATTCCCCAATAAAAATCTTTAAAAAAAATATATAAGGTATGTACATTGGTTAACAAAGGACCTGACACAAGTGGACATTTAATATGAGTCCCATTCTGGTTCTCACTTGGCAGTGCCAGCCATGGATGTGTTTCTCAAATGTCTCTTTCTGAATCTGTCTGAATGGCACCCAATCTTAACTGTGATTTATTTTTTTAAATGGGGCATGAGTGCTCAATATGATTGCACAGTCCAAAATTAGTACAGATGTCCTCTTTCAGGGTATATAGAAGCTCAAGTGAGTATTTGCTAGCCTTTGGACTGTATTCTTCTTTCTCTCATCTGTTACCTGGTGGATGCAATCTGTGCCATTTTATTTTCTTGTTCTTTCACCTTTGAGTGATGAGGCAATAATCGTTGCTGCAGGAGCATTTACTCAGCCAACCTATTTCGCCAGCCTTTCACCCTCAAATATACTCTTTGTTCCCCAACTGAAAATTGGGCTGTCTTTCATGAGCAGAGATGACACTGTGACACTTCACCTTCAATAGGCTTTGGTAGTTTTCTTACAATAACAATAGGTTGTGAGCTATCTACAAACTGCTCCACTTGGGATCTCAGCCTTATTAATAAGAAACATGATTGGAGGAGTGAAGCAGTAGTCTAGAAATGTGTGCAATTACAATTCCAACCTTAGCCATAAAACTGCCACATATCGAAGGATGGATGGGCGGGCATATAGACTGAAATTTCAAATAAGAAGTCTCAAGGATGGTTCTGTTAGTATGATAACCATCTTACATAGGGAAGGAGGAAGCGGTCTCCTCTATGTTACATCATTAATCTACCTCTCAGCACATCACTTGTCATTTGTCACTTCTCTATAGTAATAATGTGATTCTGTAAACACACTGGACAACTCAAGATGCATAAAATGTCGGTTTTCCATTTAGGGCTGAAACTAAGGGCAAAACACCCATTTTATCTGATTGTTTTTAAAAGATTTTATTGGGGAATTGGGGGAGGGGAACAGCATTGGGGAATCGGGGAAGGGAAACAGACAAGTTGCTGCCCTTTTGTTCTTCAGTCTAGTTGTGGAGGACGTCGCTTCACTGGCCCATTTTGGTATTATCATTGTGCTCTTCCTGGGTGAGGCAGTTGCTCACCAGCCAATGGACGGCCGCTCACGGTGGCTCATGCCAGCTCATGAAAGCTCATGCCACCTGCTGGCCAGCCCCACTGCAGCCTACGCTATCACCGGCGACTCAGGCAGCCCAGCTCCAGGTTGAGCTGTTGTTCACCATCTTAGCTGTAGAGGGCACTGCGTCACTGGCCCTCATGTGGGATCTGAACTGGGGCCCTGCTGCCCAGAGCTGGCGTCCCAAGCCAACTCTTAACCAACCTGCCACTCGGGCAGCCCTTATCAGATTTTTTATTGAGAGATATTTGGAGATAGACAATAGCATTCTTTGTGCCTTAAAGCTGGTCATAGAAAAATTACCATACAGTGAAATGGTCAGCATATCCCAATGAATTCAAGTCTACAGATTCTTCATTACCAAATGAAGGTGGGTCTAGATGAATTTTTCTACTTGTTAGATGCATGACCTTAGACAAGTCACTTAACCTCTCTGAACCTCAGTTTTCTCAATAATTCAATATTATACGTTCTTTCTAAGCACACATGGAACATTTACAAAAACTGACTCCAACCTAGGAAACAGGGAAGTCTTAACAACCACAAAATAATTTATATCACTCAAACTGCATATCTGTCTAAAAGACAACAAAATTAAAAATTCTTTAGCAAAAACATAACCAATCACCCCATCATACTGAACTCTAATATAGCTAGAAAATTTAAAACATTTCTAAACAAATGCTTGATTATTTGAGAATTATGATAAATATTATTAAATATTTAGGACAAAATTACAACCAAAGAACCATATATCACACAGCTAAAGCAGTTTTTAAAGGGAAATTTATAACCTTAGATGCATATATTAGAAAAAAAGAAAGATTAAAAATTAATGTATCATGCAACTAAAGCCATTAGAAAAAGAACCACAGATTATATGCCCAAGGAGGTGGGGGGGAGAGGGAGAAAAACTAAAGATAGGCACAGAAATTAATGAAACAGAAAAAAAAAGGAAACAAGCAAGAATATCAGCAACACAAAAAGCTTGTTTTTTGAAAAGATTAGTATAATAGACATTCCTTTAGTGAGATCTATTAAAATAAAAAGAGAGAGAAGGGGCCGGCTGAGTGGCGCGTTGGTTAAGAACTGGCTTGGAATGCCAGAGGCCCCGGTTTGGATCCCACATATGAGGGCCAGTGACACTGCCCTCTACAGCTAAGATGCTGAACAACAGCTCGACCTGGATCTGGGCTGCTATGAGTCGCCGGCGACAGCGTAGGCTGCAGTCCCCTGCTGCAATGGGCTGCCATAAGCTACCATGTGTAGCAGGCAGCCAGCAGGAGGGCCAGCAGCTGCTGTGAGCGGCCATCCAGAAGCCGGTGACTGATCTGCCTCACCCGGGAAGAGAGCAATGATGGTGACAACTTGGGCCAGTGAAGCAGCATCCTCCACAACTAGACTGAAGAACAACAGCAACTTGTCTGTTCCCCTTTCCCCGATTCCCCAGCGCTGTTCCCCTCCCCCAATTTCCCAATAAAATATTTTTTAAAAAAGAGAGAGAGAAGACATAAACAATATCAAGAATGAGAAGTATGTAATTACAGTAAATTTAAAAATTTTTAAACATCATAATCAACTTTATGCCAAGATATTTAAAATACAGATGAAATGACCAGGCTTTTTTGAAAACTATCCATTACCAAAATTGAGTCAAGAAGAAATAGAAAACTTGAGTAGACTTTATAATAAAGAAATTGAATCATTAATTTAAAAATCTATCCATGATAAAACAATGAGAAATTATTTTTTAGTGGACAGATTGCTAAAAGTCAAAACATCTGACAATGCCAAGGGTTGTCAAGGATAAAGGGAAATGAAAATTCTCAAAGTCAGATGATGGGAATGTAAATTGGTACAACTGCTTGGGAGAGCAATTGGCAGTGTCTTCTAAAATTGTAGATCTGCACATACCCTATGACCCAGCAATTCTACTTCCAGGAATTTGCTCTAGAAAAAGTCTGGCACACGTCTGCAAGGACAGATGTACAACACTGGTCATTGCAGTACTTTATGAAATGGTGCAAAACAGAAAATTATGTAAATTTCTATCAGTAGGAGGCTAGATAAGTAGTATACGTATATGTATATGTATAGAAGGGGAGACATAAGTAAGTGAAATGAATGACTTTAGCTACATGTTTCCACAAAGATAAATCTTAAAAACAAAACTTTGAAAAAGCAAGTTTCAAAAGGATACATAGAGTATGATATTATGTCAAAGTTTTAAGAAAACAAAAAAATAATAGGATCCATTGTGGATTCAGATCACTAGATAAATAGATATAGGTACAGTAATTTTAAAACCTGGGTGTGATGATTCAAACCAATTTAAAAAGACAGCAGGGGGCCGGCCGAGTGGCTTGTTGGTTAAGAACTGGCTTGGGACGCCAGAGGACCCCGGTTTGGATCCCACATATGAGGGCCAGTGACACTGCCCTCTACAGCTAAGATGCTGAACAACAGCTCGACCTGGAGCTGGGCTGCCGTGAGTCGCCAGCGACGGCGTAGGCTGCAGCCCCTGCTACAGTGGGTTGCCATGGGCTACCATGTGTAGCCAGCAGCCAGCGTGAGCGGCCAGCAGCCGCAGTGAGCGGCCGTCCAGAAGCCTGCGACTGATGTGCCTCACCTGGGAAGAGCGCAATGATGGTGCCGACTTGGGCCAGTGAAGCAACGTCCTCCACAACTAGACTGAAGAACAAAAACAAAAAAAAGACAGCAGGTTCTCTGGGGAAGGAGGAAGGGAAATGGGATGGTAACATATTCAATCATATCTGTAACATTTTATTTCTTTAAGGAAAAATAAATATAAATGTATCAAATCTGGGCAGTGTTCATGGATGTCTCTATATTATTCTGTATATATTATTCTGTATATTATTCTGTGTATTTCTTTTGTATGCTTGAAATGTTTGGGATGTTTAAAAATATAGGGAAAATAGTACCTGCTCTGTCTTATTCTATAAGCTTTAAATGATATTTTTCAAATATTCTGTAAACAACAAAGTTTTATATGAATGGGAACTGGTGTCCTCTTCTGCTGTCCTGCCAGTGGATGTCTCCTGTGTGGCAGAGCCTGAGACAGAGGTGGGGCGAGGAGCCAAGCCTAAGCCTCTCTCACCTGCAGTTTGCACAAGGTCAATGCTAAGATCATTGCCAAGATAGAATGCTGTCTATAGCTCAAGTGGCATGTTGAAATGGATTTAGCCAGAAGTGTGGAGAGCCAGAATTGGGAGCTAAGAAAGGGAAGCAAGAGGAGGAAAAATGGACTAGGAAGATGAAACGAGGGCCCAAGGATCTCACCAGGCAAAAGGAAATGGTGTGAACAAATTCTGGAGATGAAGGCTCGGTCCATAGCACGATTTTATAAGAGTTAGTAGGTCATCTCTTTGTGAAGCGTGACACAGACAGCAGGTAGAGTTATTATTTCTGTTAGATAAGTTACCTTGCAGTTTTGTAGGATTGGTTCCACTTGTTCAGGCTGCTGCTTCGATAATGCTTCTTGCTCTTGAGACGCAGGCTGTGTTTCTCACATGCTATGTTTGTCTCTGCATTGTGGAGTAAAAATGGTTGTATTCGTCGTTAGTGAAGAGCATGCACTCTAGGGTTAAACAGACCAGAATTTGAATACTGGCTCTATAACTTACTAGATGTGTGCTCCTTCAAGTTGTTTAACAAGAGCCTCATCTTTTCATCTGTAAGAGGGTGCTAATGAAGATGAGGCCTCTCAGTTGATTAAGGAGTCAATTAGCAGCAGCGTGCCTGGTATAGAAAACACTTACGGTATTGACCATGTTCTGTAAAAAAAAGATTTTTTTAATAATAGTAATTAAATCATGGTTCTACAAATACTGTCAGTTATCTAAAAGCAACAATAAATTTCATCAAATGTAGACATTTTTCTCATTACAGAGCAGTGTTAGGAGAGACAATACTGATTACCCAATTAACAAATGAAAGTTGATCCTTTCTGAGGTTAGTCCCTTTGCAAACAGCTTGTGGGGGGTTTCCAGGCAACTGGGCCCAGGTCCTCTGCTGACAGTCACACAGATTCCTCAGCCTTGTCAAACCAGTCTGATCAGGAACACACTACTTGACTTCAAGTAATCTCCTTTAGTTCCTGCTCTAGCCAGGTCTATAAACTGAGGTAACCAAGGAAGTTGGTTCTAACATTTGGTTAAAGAAAAAGAAGAAGAATTAAGAGAAAATGTATTCTGGACCCAGATATGATGGTGGCTAAACATTCTGAATGCAATGTCATTAATGGTAAATTTATGTTATATGTATTTTACCACAATAGAGAGTGAGAACCGGGCAAGGCTACCCACAGAGATCCACAGACTAATCGACCAGACAAACTTGGACTACAATTCCAGTTAAAAACAGAGGAGACAAGTAGTCACTTTGAATTAACAGAGATGCATAAAAGATGTAAATATATGAGGTGTGACAATTATGTTTGCGAACTTATCCTAGAAAAAGAGCTATATACCTTATTGCTGAATATCACTACTCCCCTTGGGAAGCTATGCACCAACGCCAGCACCTAGTCCACCCTTCAAAGCAATTTTGGAACTCTTTTTCTGGAATGGCCATCAGAGCTGTTCATCATATTACCCTCGATGTCCTGAATGTCATCAAAATGTCTTCCTTTCAATATTTCCTATCTCTTCAGGTAAAGAAAGAAGTCATTGGGGACCCAGATCAGGTGAGTAGGGAGGGTGTTCCAATACAGTTATTTGTTTACTGGCTAAAATCTTTCTCACAGACAGTGCTGTGTGAGCTGGTGATGCAAGGGCCATGAATTGTTGGCAAAATGTTCAGGTCGTCTAACTTTTTCATGAAGCCTTTTTAGCACTCTCAAATAGTAAACGGTTAACTGTTTGTCCAGTTGGTACAAATTCATAATGAATAATCCCTCTGATATCAAAAAAGATTAGCAACTTTGTTGCAACAAGTTTGCAAACTTAATTGTCGGACCTTGTATTGTCCATAACAAATAAAAATCTTCCATATCATACAGTGTCCTTTAATTATCAAGGTGAACTGAAACCTGGATCTGTCCAACCTCTAAGAAGCAAATGCAGACAATTTGAATTCAACTTTAGGGGAATAAACGAAACGTGACATGTTCCAATGGTGCCACTCTCTAGGTGTGGTAATAATAGCGCAGTTCTTCATCTATCAAGTCATATAGGCTTTACATTTCATAAGAATTGTGCAAAACTTTCCACCTATTCTTTTCTTTTCCTAAAATTAAAGTCAGGCATTCATTATTTTTGCTTTATATATTTAAAGAGGAATTAAGAATATGTTAATTAGAAGGCTCTTGCTGGATTGAAACCTCACTTGGGACCTTCAAGTGTCCAGGACAGGAAGGAGCATCTCTGTGGGGAAGAGGTTCCAAAGGTATCTCAGTATCCACAACTGTCACTTACTGAGGGCTTATGCTGTGCCCAGCACTTCGCTAAGGTCATCACAAATGTTATCACAGTTAATTCGCAATAATCCTATGAAGGCAGGTACTATTATTATCCACATTTTATAGGTGATGGATCTTAGAGATATTAACTTTTCCAAAATCACGTGGCTAACAAGTGGCAGAGCCAGGATTAGAATGCAAGGCAATTTGACTCCAAATCTTGAGCTCTTAACTACTAGCTCTGTGGCCTTTCTATTCCACCTGAGTGGAAAACTGAGTTCCACAATTTTTTTCCCCACCTCTTTCTCTGCTTTCCTCTGGGCTGCCTTTGTTTGCAGGCTTTTTCCACATGGCAGCAAAGATGGCCCCAGCAGTTCTGGGTTTGTGTGATTGATTCTTGGTATCTGTGCTTCCCAGAAGGACACTAGGTGTAACAATTGTTCTGGGGAGGGCTCTGTGGTAGGGTCCTTGCAAAATGGTCACCAACAAGCCTTTCCTTTTCTTGTGTGAGCATGCCACTCCTCCATTGAGAAGTGGAGTCTATTTCCTTACCTCTTGAAACTGAGGTGGTTTTCTTTGACCAATACAAGGTAACAGAAGTGACATTCTGGGACTTCTGAGCCCGGGCCTTTATAATATCAGCAGCCTCTGCTTTCACTGTCATGCAATAAAAAAGTCAAGGCTATCCCACTAGAGAAAGGCCACACGGGAAGCCCTGTAGGGTGAGCTGTCACATGGAAGGAGGCCCATGTTGGAACTGAGGCACCTCAGCTGAAGATCACCAATGACCACAGCCCCAAACCTTCCAGCTCAGCCCACTTGCCAGCTGAATGCAGCTGCATGAGTAAACCCAGCCAACACCACATGAGGCAGAAGAACGTCCAGTCGAACTATAGAATCACAAGAAACACATGATTGTTTAAAGTTACCAAGTTTGGGGATGGATGGTTATGCAGTAACTGGCTTGGCATGGGTAGCATCACGTGCCCAGGAGCATGCAGGCCTCTGATTGCAAAGGTGTGCTTTACCTGTGTCCCCCCTGGAAACCTTAGAGGCTGCTCATAGAAATGCTAGGCAGATAGAAAAAGCTTATGTCCCCTTGCTTCATGGGGGTTTATATTAATGTGGTAGAAAGAGCAAGGACTTAGAGATCCAAATATCTGAATTTGAATATGTGGCTTTCCCTCTTTCCAATGTGCCACCATGAACAAAATATATTACCTCTCTGTGTCTTTATAAAAGCTAGAAATAATCTTAAGTTTTCATACAGGGTTCTTTTGTGGAGATGAAGTGAGATTTATTCCACATTTACTCAGCTCTTCCAATATACTTGACATTACTCATTACATTATCAGCTCTTTGAGAACATGGCCTTTGTCCTATCACTTTTTCTAAAGTTCCAAAAATATTTATTGAATGAATGAATTGCAACAGATCCTGGTGACACAAAAATGAATGTAGAATTGATTTCTGAAAACTTCAAAGTTAATGGTTGTACACAAAACTGCATACAAAATTGCAAAGTGGTATACAAAATTTCATTATTATTACTATTTAACCTTTTAAATAAAGTGGTTCAACTAATTCATTCATTAGATGTACTAACTCTTCCCACCTCATTCTCTAGAGAATTTGCAGAAACTTAAAAAAAAAATCAAATATAAAAGGATAAAATGTAGATGAGAAAATTAGGGCAAAGTGAAAATAAAGGTCAGATCAATGATTTATTAACCTATAATATAGTTGCAACATCAATGTTTTTAAGCTGGAACCTTCACGTAAGATCATTAATGTATCGCTACTGTCACAGTTTCTAGAAGCAATAAAATCTGTTAAATTAGCCATCCATAGTGTTGCCATAAACCGATTAACTCAGATTTCACTGTACATTTCAATTGGTAGGAAAGAACCTGGAAAAAGTGCCCCGCCTCCAGTTGGGTTAAGTTGGTCAGTTCAGTCTAGGACTGTAATCACTGTGCACATGGTGATCAGGTGGGAAGCAGTGGAGACTAGTAGGTAAAAATGAGAAAGCAGCTAGTAGCTGAAAACCAAGCTTCAGACTCCTGACTCTACCACTTAACAAGATACGTGGACTTTGAGCAGGTCATTTTCCACGCAGCAGTTTCCTTGCAACATATGGTTATTGTGAGAACTAAATAAGATAGTCCTTGCAACATACGGTTATTATGAGAATTAAATAAGATAATCCAGATAGCACATAGTAAAGTTTCAAAAATGTTAGCTATTGTCACCACCGCAATGGAGACAGGACAGATTGTGGAAATGTGTGGATCTTTGGTTCTTGGGCAGCTGTAATTTTATTGTAAGTCTGAGTAGGTGGGTGTTAATTAGGACACTTTGATAGCAAGTGGAATGGAGGTAATATGGTATTTTGAAAATTATTAATTTGCTTTTATATTTAGCTTGTCAGAGCACGTGGTCCCCACCCTAGTCTTTCTGAGGCATCCTTCTGCCTAGGGAGATTAAAAGTGTTACAGAGGAATGCAAAGAGGAAATCCAGCTTCTGGCACTCAAAAATAGGATTTTTCTGTACTGCTCTAGCTTTGCAGATCAGACTATTAAGAGAGAATTGCGTATCTTCCTTTACTTCCACATTTATTTATCAAGGTCCAGGCTTGAAGTTCCATATCAGAAGAAGAGGGGAGGGAAGCCTGCCCCTTCTTGGCCCCAGACGTATTGTAGGAGGAAGGGTAAAGAAAAGGAGGCAAACAGCCTGTTGTCTGTTTGGGTCTCTGGAAAGGAGACACCTTGAGGGCTGTTCCAAAGCAACTAGGAGAGCAGTCAAGTCACATCCACTAAATTCGGTAGCTCAAGTAAATCAGGCAGAGGCAGTCTTGAAGTCTACGTTTTCTGAGCTGCTCTCAAGCATCAAGGGGCTGCAAAAAGCCTGCCATGCTGGAGTAAAGCCATCCACCCATCCCAGAAGCTGGTGGGACACTGGTTGGAGGGGACAACTGGCCAGGGATCTGATGGCAGATGACTCCCAGCAGTCTGGAGCCAGGAACAATGAGACGAGGCCAAGATAGCAAAGGGGAGAACTGACCACATCCTCCATGCCCATATAATGTTGTTGAAAGAAGCCTGTTCTGTGTGACCTTGGACAGACCCCTTAACCACTCTGGGCATCCATCTCCTTGTCTGTAAAGTGAAGAGGTACGTGAATAATCTCCAAAACTTCCTCTAGTCATGAAATTCTATGATTCTACAATTCAAATTAATGCCAAACCTTCTCATAATACATACAATTTGTAATATTAAGACAACCTAATTTAAGTCACGGGTAAACCTGGCATCCCAGGAGTTGCAATGGAGTTCTGAGTCCTCGTGTTCAATGAATTTCAGACGTACTGCCTC